TAATATGGTTGAGATCTACACGCTGCAGCAAAATTCTTACCAGATACAAATCACTGAAGGAGTCATCCAGCTCCAATGACAAGACATCCTGCTCCAGGGGCACAAAGTACAAGGGCAATTCAGCGACGTTGACATCACCGATGATGCCCTTCTGTTCCAGGACCGAGTTGCTTACAAGGGTCCGCCTCGGAACCCAGAAGATGGAGAATTCATGTTCGACATTGCTGTTGCGCTGTAGACGCTGGATCTGGTCTAGAGAGATGTTAGCCCATACTGATGGCGCTCAATTCGACGGGAAGAGAAAGAAGGCCAATGAATGAGCTGGTTTCAACATTTGGTCTGAAACCACAGGTTGATGTGGGGAACTCGACTGACTACGTAGAGTAGGGTTGCGTCTGCGTAATCTACTGTTTGTCCCAGTTGTATAGTGCAAGCTCATCCCATCACACACCACCGGCCAAATCTACTAGACAATACCGAAATCAAACATACCTGCCACTATCCGCACCTGGTGGATCTTCTCCGCATGGGCTATGAATACGACATTCCGTTGGGAGGAGTCCACGTTGGCATTTTCCAACAGGAAGACACGGTCTACACCGTACTCTTGGAGCAGCGAGAACTTGACAAAGAGACCGATCGGACCAGCCAGATCCTGGCCAATGACCAAGTTCTTCTTTCCCCGCACCTGCACCGAAAGGAATTCATTCAGCTTGGGGACGATGCGGTGGTGGGAATCGACGTCATGTGGAGCGACTCACGCCTTCGAGGAGAGTCAACAGATCCCTACGCGTCTTGTCCTTGAGGTAATCAGCGTCTGACAGAGATCCTGGGTACGGCGCCATCGCTGCCTAAAAGCATTCCGGTACACGGGAAAGAGATGGACCAGATCAAGGTAATCTGACGGATGAGATGTGGTTATTTTTGGGACTTGAATCTCCCCAAGAAGTCCGAAGGCGGCCGTGTTGGCGGTGACCGGTTCCGAACTAGGCCCGATCTGGGTTAGGCCGATCGACACCGCCACCACTGGTGTCAATACCCAGTATTACACGGTTTCAGTCTTTTGATACCTCTTGATATCTACTATAGCATCGATAACCAGTCTGTATTAAGACCCAAAGGTAATTACAATACACCCCGCCACTGTCTGGTCTCGACCGAACAGGCAGCTCTTCCCCGACTGACCCTCCATTCTTATTCTTAATTTATCTCCTGAGCGCTTGGTTTCACCTCGACCTCATCTTTGTTTCACTCTTCATCTTCATTCCGAAATTTTCATCTTCATCCTTTTCTCCTTTCTTTGTATTCGCACTATATACCCATTACCATTCAAGCCATCCTGGAACTTCTTCCCCTTTTTGCTTACCCAGATACCCACCTAGACTTATTCTCACTTCTGCCACTTTCACCAACATGGGCCTCTTCAAGAAGTCCGACGACGGAGACGATGACTCGGGCCGTCGAGCCCTCTTTGGCTCTCGCTCCAAGAACAAGAGCCCTGCCCCTCCCGCGAACCCCTACGCCAAACCCATCCCCATCGATCCGTACACCCGAGCCAAGATGTATACCGGTGTCGCCGCTCTTCCCGCCGATGAGAAACAGCTTGGTGCCAATAACCTGAAGTCGTCGATAAGCTCCCCTTCGCCTGGTCCGCCCGCCGGTGGGGACATCCCCGGCGACAACAAGTCTCAAGTGAGCGGCTATGCGCCGAATAGCTATGGCAACCAGGGCGGATATGGCGGCAACCAGTACGGTGGCGGTGCGTCATCGGCTTCGAAATACGGACCCGGCGGTTACGGAGGCTTGGGCGCCGTCGATCCCAACGACCCCGGCGCGGGGGATTCCAACCGAGATGCGCTCTTTGGTGGCGCCCGGGAGCGCGTAGAGCAGCAACAGCCGAATGGCGCAGGTCCTCCGCCCCCATACACCGAGGGCTCTCCCGCCTACGGGGGCAGCAGCAATGCGTACACCACATCCACCTATCAGGAAAGAACCATGACGGCCGAGGAGGAGGAAGAGGAGGAGATCCAGACCGTCAAGCAGGACATTCGATTTATCAAGCAGGGCGATGTGGCCTCGACTCGCAACGCCTTGCGGGTGGCCGCGCAGGCTGAAGAGACCGGACGGGAGACTCTCGCCCGTCTCGGTGCCCAGGGAGAGCGCATCCACGATACGGAGAAGAACCTCGACATTGCAACCGTTGAGGGTCGGATCGCGGAAGAGAAGGCCAAAGAACTGAAGACGCTGAATAAGAGCATGTTCGCCGTGCACGTGTCGAACCCGTTCACCAGTTCCCGACGCCGACGTGACCGGGACGAGAAGATCTTGAACACCCACCGTGAGGAACGAGATCTTCGGGATGGAACCCGGAAGGAAGCATTTAACACCGGCCAGCGGATGGAGCGAACATTCCGGGACATTGACAAGGAGGCGGGCAAGCCGCAGACCCGCAAGCGCACCAACGTTACCGAGCGCGCCAAGTACCAGTTCGAGGCGGACAGCGATGACGAACGGATGGAGGATGAAATCGAACAGAACTTGGACTTGCTGGGCGGCGCAGCCGGCCGGCTGAACGGATTGGCTCGCGCTACTGGCAAGGAGCTGGACGAGCAGAACCGCAATCTGGGACGCATCACGGGCAAGGTGAGTCTTTGCTTTTTCATCCCATTTGTTTTATGATCTGTATGCTAACTCTCTGGCAGAGCGACTACGTCGACGACCAGATCGCCATGAACCGGGCCAAGCTGGACCGGATTCGTTAGGCTCTCTACAGCCGAGTCCGTATATGGATTGGTCATGGAGGGAGTCGGGTTCCGGACTGCCTGGTGCTGTCAAACCCTTGCCGCGTTGTGGCTCTCATTATATCGTGCATAATTGTTCTACTGTCACATTTGGGCGTCTTAATCTTCTTTTCCACATATAATCAAACTCTGCTATTATTCTTGCGGGGGTAGTAATCTTGTGGTAATAGAATACATATGCTACTATATTCTATCGCTCTATTGTCAAACTCTCCAACGCTTTTAGCCATACAAACTCTGCTGTGTCACTGCCTCAGGCTACTCCCCATCTCCACGTCGCAGATCACGTGCCATATATCTGGACTCATGACAGTGTATACCGAGTATCATCATGTCACGCTAGTTCATAAAGTCCGAAAGCAAAGCCGGTATATCTCTTGTTTGCTATATACCCACGATCAGACCGCTGTATATTATTGCGGTGCAACTGCAATACCCCCCGATGTACTCCGTACACGAGTTGACAGGCATGATCCTGTTCTTGACATGCTGCAGTGCAGGTAGCACATTCCGAACGAAGCAAACTATGATGCCAGCCCCACAGAGGAATCCTCCACATTTCTGCAGTACTGCAGCCCTGCAGTTGTAGCAATTTCGCGGAAGGGATTGGAGGAATTTCTATCTTGTGTTTCATGTGCTCGTTTGAGCATTGCCAGATGGACATAGCGCAAGAATTGACGGTCAATTATTACTACTAAGCCATAGAAGACATGCTGACACTTCTAGAATTTATGGTTAACCCTGAGTCTTACTGTGGCAGCGACTGAATTTGCCTCCTTTCAATGTCAAACATACATCAACCCGTCTTTCTATTTCAGGCCTCTAAGCTACTTAGGGCTATCGATTTGCGGGTGATGGAGCTGGTTTCGGCATCATTTGGTTTTGTATATGCACCAGAATGCAGTATTCTTGAAGGAATGCAGGGGCGGCCGCATCATCCAATACTATATCTACGTGCCTTAATGCTTGGTGTTCCCTAATATGATCGTCCCAACCACGAACATCGTCTTGAAGCAGCAGAGAAATAAATGCTACGAAAAAAAACTAAATCATCGTTATGAGCTCACAAAAGATATTTCCTCCATCCACGATTTTTCAACCTTCTCAGTTAAAGCCCGAGAGGACTCATCGGCGCCTTCCAACTAACTACCACGTCCAACTCCCCTCTCTTCAGATCCCATCCAAATTAATCCGAGTCTCGCGAATTTTTCTCTACGAATTCCAAGTTGCCCTTACAACAATCGTCTACTCTGAAGCTGAAGCTCACCTTGCCACTGTCTATGTGGCAGCAGCGCTCTCGAGCGTCGTGGTCGGAAGCCCTGTGGGCGAAAACCCTTTGGCTAGAAGAGAAAACGGCGGCAGTAGGCTCCCCTTTTTCCCTTCACTAGAGCCAGAGACATGTACAGCTACAATCCCTTTGCTCTAGTGCAAAGACGATTGGCCAGCTGAATGTATCCCAGTATAAAATTCAAGCTGAACGGTCACCGGGCAGACCAGCATGTTGACTTCTGGGAAATGTGAGGTTAAGTGCAAATAGTATTCCATATCATCATCATCACATATGTGTTTCTCATTATAATATGTGATCGGCATTTGTGGTGGGTTGGTTAATACATAATAATATAAAGTGGATCGTCAACTACTGATGCCACGATATATATCGAGAGCGAAACAATCCCACTCGAACAACGAATGGGGGCTGAGTGGATCCTAAAAGGAGAAGTCAAAGCTGGATGATAATAGTATGCATTTATCAAAAAAGGCATTATGACAAGCGTACCCGGAACAGATTTTCTCTTGTCCTCAGTCCCCTATGTCATGGACCCTGGAGTATTTATATTGTGGAGTAGACGGAGACTATATAAGCGGCTTGATAGACAGACCCAGTCGGATCTAGCTATCTTTGATGCACTACAAACAGATCAAATCAGTAAGATAATAACAGTAATAAACAACAAAATAAAAACAAACCAGATTCAACGCCAATCATGATCCGAAGTGCTTGGCGGCGATACATATAATCTAGACGAGCTCGTATTACCCACCCCCAGGATGGATCCACCAGAGCGTCCTGTGGAGGAAGAAAATGGGAACTAATATAACATCATACACCGAGCTAGGCATACGAGCCCGTCAGTCCGTCAATCACAGACACACTTCAACTCAAATAACCAGACCTCCCACAAACATCCAAAAAGCATGAACACAACAGCCCACCACCACCTAACCACCATCCCATGGGCCACCCTCCAGCACGCCTACGGCCCAGCCACCGACCTACCCAACCAACTGCTTGCCCTCCAATCACCAGGCAAACAAGCACGCACCGACGCCTACGACCAGCTCTACAGCAACATCTACCACCAGTCCGACCGCTACGAAGCAACCGCGTACGCAGTGCCCTACATACTGAGTATTCTCGCGAGCACAGCGACCCCAGACCGGCCGCGCCTATTCTGTCTTCTGCTGGATCTAGCGCTGGGTATACCCGCTGATGAGTTGCCGTTAGGGGTTAACATGAGAGGTGCTTCTGCATCTGGGATGTCGATGTATGGGGATGTCTCGGACGGACAGATTGACTATGGGGTCGTTGCGTACGACGCCGTTCGTGCGGGCGTTCCGTTGTTTTGGAGATGCTTGGAAGAGGAAGGTACTAGAGACGATGGGAGAGTGAGGGCGTGGGCGGCTTGCGCGCTGGCATACTTCCCCAGTGAGATCGAGGGCAGTGCGGATATCGATCGGCTATTGCAACTCATGGATCGAGAAGCAGACATTGAGGCCTTGGCAAGCATCATGATTGCTCTGGGATTGCTCATCGGATCTCGGGACGATGGTGCTTCTCCCCAAGTCTTTGAGACTACTGCTACGGTCTCCCGCCTACACACACACTCAACCAACCCCCATTCACTGATCCGCTGGGCCGCAGCAGTAGCACTCACCCGGCTTCAGCATCACAGACCAGAACACGTCGAAGTGATAACGCTCGCCCTGACCGATCCATCTTTCATCCCCGCCGAATACCACTCCGTCTTCCCCTTCTGCGAGGGAGATTTCAGCAAATACAGCGCTAAGATCCTGGGAGGGTTGGACATGGACGAGTATCCCCATGTGGTGCCCGCTGTGCTAAAGGTGTTGCCTCGCTTGCCGCTTCCGAATGCTCTGAATCTAGCTGAAGTGGCTATGGAGCTTGCTTTTGGTGCTATGCCTGATGATGAGGATGAGGATGATGATGGTGATGATTATGATGATGATGATGAAGACGGGGTCTCCGTCGAGCGACTGAGCGAGGTTCAGCGCCGGACAGTGATGGCTTTGGCGGAGTGGGACGATGAAGAGGCTTGGGGAACTGGGATTGTGGGCGGGATACTTGAGGATTGGAACATTCGTGGTGGGAGTCGAGATGAGTGTCGTCGGTATATTGGGTTATCAACTGGGTTGTAGACTAGGATGATGAATATCAGTGACAGGCTCTTTGGCTTGGAAGTAATTCAAATCTATCCCACCGGTCAAACCATGGATGAGCATACGCTATTGCTTACCGATGTAGGTAGTATACACTCAAGTAATAAGCACGTCATCCACGCCCAAGAAAAGAAAAGGAAAGAAAGCACACCCCAGCAGAGCAACGTAATACCAAAGCCTACCTACCCAGGCCTGACATACACCTGCTGCACCCTGTACCCTGTACCCCGTCCTCGTGCTCCGACCAAGTTCCAAATCAAATATAAAGTTAGAGTTATATGCCGTGTAACCAACATACTACCTCACTAAACATAAGGTAAGTGGAGACACTATTCACCAATGAAGCGGGCTTCACTTCAAACTATTTTCTGGAATACTCGGCAATGTGCAATCAATGAAACACCCCAGACAATACATTGGGTGATATATGTGAGATATGGAAAATCACTCCCTATCTAGTGTGTAAAACCCACATGGTAGATCCCTTGATGGCTTTTTTTCTCCGCGGGGAGATGCGGAGATATTATCCGGGCTATTATCTCTATATCATCATTTGATACGATATTTCACCAAGGGCATGAGATCATCCTTCCTCGCTAGCCCACTTGATCTTATAGTACAGTGTATATATCATGAGTTTTACAAGATAGGTAGTTCTGAGTATCAGTTTATATACGCTTGATTATCATCTATATACACGGCATCGCAAACCCATCTCATCATGTTGGGCAATGTATTAAACAGTAGGGGTAATTAGTAGTAACGAGTGTGTAGAGGGTAGAAGAAAAATAAAATAAACGAAAGAAGGCTTGCGCATAAGTCGAGTTCCAGGCAAAGACAAATCCATTCTGTTTCCACTCCAATGCTGTGTGCTTTGGGGTGACCCGGCTGCGCATTTTTGGATTTTGTTGGAGAATTCTCCAACAAAAGAGAGGGATTTGTATCACCCATTCCCTGTGTTCATCCACTTATCTTTTGTTTGTTGTCCAGCTGGACTTCAATAAGAAAAGGAATGCACAGTGGTGATATATCTGCACCATGGCATCCGAATAAAAGATCGCAGCATCAGGAAGAAAGGAAAATAGAATGTTTGAATAGACGTCACGAAATAACAAAAAGACCAATAAGTCAAACGAAAGATGTATAATGGCCTGCTGCAGATTTTCCGGACCCAAAAAAATAATAATGCCTCGGAAATGCAGAATCGAAGAACTGAAACGAGCTGAAATCAATCACAACTCAAGTTGGTATCTGAAGACAAAACAAAACCATGCCGCACACAAACAAACAAACAAAAAAAAAAAACAAAGGCAGGAGAAAACCAACTCCCCCCCAGATTCTAAACGAGAGGAAGAAACGAAAAAGACGATCCTGGAAACAACCGGCACCTCTATAAAGTCATAACGTGGGAATAATAGATCAAAAACATCATGGTAATACCCCTTTTGCCCTTGTACCCGGGTTCAGCCGACCCATAGATATTAATCAGAAAAGAAAAAGAAAGGGGTATCAATTCCCTGCGCGTTTCGCAGGGACCAGAAAAAAAAAAAGGAAAAAACAGAAGAAGAGTCGAAATCGCAGTTGAATGGTTGTTGTACAAGCGATAGGACCCAATTGAATGGTAGAAACGAGCAACGTCGCACAAGCCACAGCGGGTGGGATTGAAGTCGCAGCTCATGCACAGGCCTCGTATCGGCACGGATCATGGGGAGAATAGAGGAACGAAGATGTCGAAAAATGTATCTACTCGTCGTCCTCACCGGAGGCTCCCTCTTTTTCGCCCTTGTGGACCTTCTTGTGGCGGCGCAAGTTGGACACAACAGAGAAGTGTCGACCGCAACCTTCCACATCACATGCGAAAGCTGAAATCAAACTTGTCAGCACATCGCTAAACACAAGTAAAGGGGAGGTTCAAACTCACGCTTTTCGCCAGTGTGGCTGTACATATGGGTCTGGAGAGACGACGGACGGGTGAATCGCTTGTCGCACACCTTGCACTTGTGCTTCTTCTGGGTGTTTGACGGCATCTTGGAGCTGAACTGGCTCATCATCGACTGCGGACCCGGAGGCGCGCTTCCGGTGAGCAGGCTGGACGGACGGGGCAACGTCCGCGACAGGTGTCCATTGTCGTAAGACTCCGAGGTGGTAGAGCTATAATCGGTCACCGACGAGTCGACGGAGCCGACGGAGGCGCTATAGTAGGGGTAATTCGCGCCGGACGAGATCGACGATCCCGACGAATGGGTCGCGGGGAAGCCATACGAGTCACCTGAACCTCTCGAGTTACGAGGACCGTAGATGTTGCGAGGGGTCAAATCCTGGCTGAGGGCGACCATTCCGCGGCTGGCGTCAAGGGCGTCTCCAAACGTGGGGGCCGACGGGGGCTGCGATTGGCCAACGCGAGCTTCTCTATAAACAGAAGAGACCTTGATCAGTAGCTGTCCAAAATTGCGGATGGCACGAATGCGCGCTTGGAGGGTAGATATTTCTTACGGGATGCGGCGGCTGTCCGGGTGTATCGACGGAGCATAGCTCAAGGGGGCATAGCTGGCCGGAGCGAAGCTGCTCATGGAGGAGGCGGTGGTGTAGGAGGGAGGCTGTTCAAAGGTGGTGCGAGGAAGGTCGTGCGACATGGTCATCATCTCCGGGCCGGGGTAGCTCGGAGCGGCGCTGGTGGAATAGTTACTCCCGGGGACCATGGACGGGGCCGACACGGGGATGCTCGAGTACGGCAGGGACATGGACGGGCGGCTGACTTCCTCCTGCTTGGGAGGGTTCAGGATCTGGCTGGAACCCATGGACGTCGCGTACACCGGAGGAGTCGAGTTGGAGGAAGTGTGAGCGGCCGACCAGGGATCGGTGAACTGAGGCGGAGTGTGGTGCGGGAGGTTATGTTGTTGGTAAACACTGTCAAAACCCATCCCGCCGTACTGGCGGTTCTGGTTTTCAATGACCATCGTCATGGAGGGTAGCCGTAGAATCGGACAATATTAAAGCGTGCAAGTGGTAATGCGGTTGAGAGACAGTCTCAACCTATGGTGCCTGACGATCAAGGGAGGAAGATCGCAGACAGATAGGGCAGCGCGTGCTCGTGGCGATTGATCGAGGTGGGGAGGAGGGACAGATGTGGAGGAAAGGGATAGACAGAGGATGATCCAAGGCGAGGTATGTGAATCAATTATATTAATTGACTTGCGCAAGGATAGGTAGGATAGGATAATGAAGAACAGAAACCGTCCCAAGGAGTAACAGCAAGGAGGGCGAGTCGCGACTGGTTATATGAGGTATCGTCTGTGGCAGAGGATTGCGCTGACGGAGGCAATGGGGAAAAGAGATGCAGAATCAAGAGGACAATGAGAAGAATGAGGACAATGACAATGGGGAGACGCCCTTGAACCCGACAGAAGCAGAATGAAAAGGAAAGACAATCAGACAGTCTGGGGAAGGACCCGAAGGGGATCGGCGAAGCTTATGAACAAATACAGGATCACAGCATGAGGGATGAAGGAGAGCCCTGGGCATTGCTCTGTTGGTTCTGGTCTGTTTAGTGCCACTGACGACGTCCCGTCGGGGACTCTGGCCGATCGTTACTGTAGACTGCTTAGTGGAAGGGAAACGGCGCCAGTCATTTGAAAATAAAATAATAGAAATAAATAAAATAAGATCGAATAATAATTAAATTAGGGAGGGGGGGGGGAAGAATTAAAATTAAATAAAATCAAAATGGAAAAGCAAATAACCAAATCCGCGAGAATAACAAGCTTAGGGTGAATGGAAAAGTCTCCAAATGGAACCAGTTCCTCGGGTGACTTCTCAAGGTTTTGGATGGGTCTCCTATTTCCCTGGTTGGATTTATTTTATTTTATATTTTATATTCTATATTCTATATTCTATTTTATATTTTATCTTTAATTCTTGTATTCCATTTTCTTTCTTTTCCTCCCCAGGGTGATCTTGCGAGATAATTCCCTTTCCTTTTCTTTTCTTTTCTTTTCTTTTATTTCTAGTTTCTTTTCCTGCCCCCCCGCTCTAAATTATTACTCTCATCTTTTATTTATCTTTTCCCTCTTTTTTACGTTTGTTGTTTTCTTCAGTCATAGATTAATGATTAATTTGGGGTTTTCTTTCGTTTTTTCTTTCTGATTAGAGACCCGCTACGTTACTTCTATTTTTATTCAATCTTCAATCTACCGTACAATGGCACAAGCCTTCCTACCGACTATCATTTGATCATGGTTCAGTATGTAATGTCTATAGTGGATTCGATACTCAGTAGTGGAAGAAGATTGCGCGAGGAATCACTAACTGCAGAGAAATGCAGACAAAAAGGGGAGGGAACCTCCTGATTCTCCAACATACATTGGGGAGTCTTCATGAACATGAAAAAGAAATAAATAATAAAACGAAAATAATCAAAAAGAAAGAAAAAAGCAAGCAGGGGCAGGGAAAAGGAGACCGACCTGAAACTCCGGGATCGGAATCAAGTATGTACTGCCCTGCACGGTGGATGGATGGACTGGAGGTTCCTCAGTCCCTCCAGAAGTAGTTTATTGCTGGGTTGTCCGCCCTGGAAGTGGTACGTAATCGGCAATGATAATCTCTAAAAGGAATTACTCATAATAATACCACTCGGATTTTGGGACACAGACCAAAAGTCAAATCAGGAACTGTAAATCAAATTAGTCCTATTTGAGAAGGAAGTCTAAAAGACAAATATAATAAAATGAAATAAAATCTAGAATCAAAAAATTGTATAAAGAACAAAAAAAAAAAAAAAAGGAGACAAAGATGGCAAGAAGGAAGAAGCGGGAAGAAAAACAGGCTCAGGTACGACTTCCATAGCGTAGTAGGTTGGAGGCAATGACTGTGGTAGAGGAATGATAGGTCGGGAGACTATGAGCCGTAAGTCAAGATAGGATGACTTGCCCTCACCTTGCTCTTCAGACTCTCAGAGGCTAAAGGCTAACCTACCCTCTCCGGTTGAGCAATAAAAAAATACATATATAAAAAAGGGGCCCAATTCTGTACCGTGTCTGTCGAAGACACTAAGGTAGTGTGCCTGAGTGGGCCATGGGCTGCAAGTGGAGAGGAGCGACCAGCACGAAAGGAGGAAAGCGTGGGTAGCAAAAAACAACCCGGGAGGAAGTCCCCTCCCATTAAGAATATTAGTTGGTTGAACTTTAGTCGGGAAGGCTGATATCACCTATCAATATTTATATTACATCGTCACACAACCGAGTCCTTCAAAAAAGTAGGCAACTATCTTGATATCTACTGATAAACACTACCTGGCAAGATAGAGAACTACGAGACGGATGGTTGAACCCCATGGCTAGGGAGGTCTCAGGCGGCGGGGTGGCAGTGGCAGATCACAGAGATATGTCAAAAAGTCAAAGGGTCTACCCGTTTCGTGGGGACTCACTCCCTCGACTGCTGACTGGAGATAAAAAGCCTCCCGGACTGCAAGATGGTGGTGTGGTGGTGGATCGGGCTCCACATGCTTTCTGTAGTGGTCAAATTGTCGTCCCTCTTGGGGTATTTACAGTGGTCGTCTGTCCAGTCCCGGTACGAGTTGCAGCAGTTGAACCGAGATAATCAGGGAACATGCTTGCTGCATTTAAGATTGCATTCACATAATGATAGAACCCTCATCAACAGTACGATTGAGATTGAAGCACAATACCTGTAATCTCAGAAGCATCATGATACAAGAAATAATACACATATAGCCCTACATCTAGCACGTAAGATTAAGAAGCCCGGTAATTTTGGTATTCCGGCTGTAAGGGCCCACCAGACGAGATTGGAGAATTACCCTAGGCAAGGCAAGTCCAGCACTCAGTAAGGATCTCAACTCCCTGGTTAGTATTACAGCAAACCAACCAGTCTGTGCACATGCAGAAAATATGTATGTAGCTAAAATGATGTACGGGAATAACCATGTAGTATGTAGGGTGTGTCCACAGGCAAGGTCGAGATGTTGTTGATGCACATCGTGAGCTTTGACAGCAGGGAAAATATTCCCTCCGCAGTGGTTGGTGCAAGGCGCGTCTTTGCATGTCGCACGGTACATACCAAGGCCCAATGCTTGCAGCCACATTGTATGTCTCTGGAATTTGCCGGAGGGGAGGGGTCTTTTGCCGCAGGTTGCACATTAGTTATTTCTTTTGTTTTTTTTCTGTCTTCTTGCAGTTTACCTTGTCCTCTAAAAACCAACACACAAGGGCGACACTTAGAGAGGGACTGACCCACTAAGCAGTCTAGGTCTACCTTCCTCTATTCGTGCTACTAGCTCTCGCATGGAGCTGGGAGCTAAGGAAAATAATCCAATGGGTCCTGCGCCATGACGACATGCGACAACGAACGCCTCGGTCAGGAATGCTCCCCAGTCACTGTACTACAGTCCTGCAGCACTAACGGCTATCCTATCCCACGAGTACTCTATAGTAGGGGTAAGTTGTCTCCATTCTAGACAGACTTTTCCAACCGAAAACTAGGGTTCTACTGTATAACAGACACTGTTATCCATAGTCATATAGGGGATTGTATGGTCAATGCCAACTTATTCTTATTTACCTCTCTCTCAACATCATGTCCCCCTACTATCCTTTTCACCATGTCCTGATACCCGATCGGATAATAATCCATATTGTACCGAGCATATCGTTCCATGCAGGCCAAGTCCCTCCACCGATCAAGACCAAGAATCATCGTCATCCTACAGTCTACCCCCCCCATCAAGACCTCTACACATCAACAGCTCAGATCTCAACCACAGTATCCGTACTCCGTCCCAAACCCCAATAGGTAGACAGCAAGAACGCCCCAAAAGGATGAACAACAGCATACCACACTGATAACCACCACAAACAACGCCTCCCAAATCTCAATCCAATAGACAATGCAGTTAACTTGCAGAACGCGGAACCAAAACGCGCACCTGTGGCATCATGGCGCTTTCAAAGCAAGTGCATGTCAAAAGAACCACATTGACGTCAGCGGCCCTGCCACTATCTACCCGTAACTCATTAGCGCTGGCTTGGGGGGTTGGCTATTGGCCACTCTAGCATGGAATAAGCAGATCACACGCTCTGTTGTATAATTTATCCCGGAGTAGCATTGACAGGTCGCTTGGGTTGGGAGGAATAAATTAAGCCAGTTATGGGGAGAAATATGCAAAAGCAATCTAGTGGGTTTGTTGAAGGAGTATATGTGAGTTTATTATTATTGTGGAGAGAGGATAGGTAGTATACAGTAGATGAGATTCTTGAAAGTACAATATATTTTCTTCCAATACACACATCTATTTCGCGATCGTATATAGCATACACACACTCAAGAGGCAAGATAAGCCCGCAAACGCCCCTCATCGTGGTTTGTCACCAGCGACGCCACAATACCGCCACAGCAATTAATATCCAACAATGCAACCATCACCATCTGTTACAACTTACGAGGCCTTCGTTTACAAGTTCCAGATTAAAAAAAAACCTAGCCGATGAACCCCTTTGTTTATCAATTGTAACCGTTGTCGGCTGGGGCGTTTGGAGTTGTGCCACCATGAGTCCAGCTGCCATGCTACTAGGATAGGGACAGCTCATCACTTTGTCTACCCAAGCCAAAACCCAGATTCAAATTGTTGACAAGGGTTACCTGCATTAGATCTGGTGATGACGTCTCGCGCGGGGGGATGGACAGGGGGAGAGAATAAAGGAGAGAAAAGACTGAAGGAGGGGCGGGAAGAGTAAGCCAGCCATGTGCACCACACCACACAATCCGTCCATCTCATCTCATCTCATCGCCATTTTCCATCTCATGTATCTCAAGCACGGCAGCCCTCCGTGAACAATCATCAAGAAAAATTGAATATTAATATCCATTATGTCAGACAGCCCAATTACGTAGTAATTAAGGAGGTATAACAAAACAAATTACCACAACTGGTGAGGTCGACTCCGCTCTCTACTATCCGACTATCGGAGGCGGTAGAAAGGCACTGACTAATTCAACGGTCGACTGGTTCAGCAAACGAACTGGTTCCTTGGAACTGGAAAATCATCTAATCCACTGACTCGTTTGTCGCGTGGGCGTGACCTTCGAGAAGGAAACTGTGGAAGGGTAGGGGAAATTAACGTGGACCTGGTGAGCCAGAGTTGAAATCTATAGTGGAAGGTATACAACAATAGAACACGATATACGGAGAATAGATAGATGAATTAATATCGAAGGCGACGAGTACATTAATTTATTTAAATTAAAGATAAAAATAAGAGTGAATACTAATAGAACAAGAATATTGGGAATGGGAAATCATAGTCAACTAGCGCAGAATTAGAAAGAAAGATTGACATGATGGAATGAATGATGAATGACTGCTGCAATACCGAAAGTCATCCGAAAATGAATCGAGAGGTAGCGAAGGAGAGTTCCGGCCAATGGTGGCTGTGGTGGGCTTACGGGTGCGGGGCACGCAGTGGGGAAAAGTCCACACGGCTGGCACGAGGCGGCTTTGCCATGGTCCATGGGACGATGGGTCTGTTCCAGAGAATGGTCAACGTTGGTACAATCAACAATGGGAATTTTCAGGGTCTGATCGTGAATCAGCGCAAGTTCGGGTCCTAGTTGGTAAACAATTAACTGTTTGTGGTCGTGATAACGTAGGTTTACTCGAATATAAACTGGTAGGCTGCATGCTCGTCGGGTACCACACCTGCTGTACGCTTGGTAATTCTTGAATGGCTACGAGAAATCTACACATACTCCGTATATAGCAGTATACCGCGGCGATAGTCTACCTCAAATGGAGCGCAGTCTCAGACACATCGGGGAACACTGTCCCTCTCCAACGCATTGAAGAGTTTTCCGCATTCCATCCAAGTGGGGTCATTGCCAAAGACAAGATACCAAATCAAACCAAGCCCACCCAATCCTTCGTATCTACCGGAAGACGACCCTGTCGAATCATCACCTGAGCGCGGTAGATCTGTAGTGTGGAATCTAGCGCGATATCGATACTACACGAGAATCACGGTTAATTTCCAAGGTCCTCCATCCTTTCCGGTTCCTGTTGCGTCATCGAGATCCTGCTACGGACACGAGTGTATCCCGGGATCAGGATCACCAGGTGATCCAATGCATGGATGGAAAACATGGTAGAGGCTCGAGGGCAGTTTCGATTTGAGCGAGTGGCTGGCTGCCCACAGGATGGGATCAAATTGAAGGAGAGATAAATGCCATCTAGATGCCCACGACGGTATAGACGATGCAGTAGTGTTGTCCAAAGGACAGACTAAGTCGCGGGACGGAACTAGATCCTGCAGCCAATGATTACGGCTGGAACAACCGCACCGCGAGGATGAGAGGCCCAAGCGGCGAGCGTTGCGTAAGCCAGCCCTTCTAGACTCGTGGGAGCGAGGGGCGTGTGGCTGTCTGGATATGGTGGGTGGTAGGCTATAGGGCGGTGCAGGGTTATTTTTGTCTGGGCAATCTCCAACGCAGAATGAGAATGGAGATGGCAGAAAAGCCCAACCGAGACAGCTTTGCTTGTCCCTATCAGTATCATATTGGAAAACTCGGGTCTGGCAGTATTGGCCGCCAAGTCCGCTTGAGGAAAAGTCCTGAAGGTTTGTGCATTGGAATCATTACTCGAATAGTATTCACCTACCTAACGAGTTAACATATTACCAAGTTTGTGCTGGTGCCATACTCCACCTGGAGTAAGCACACCATATTCAAACAGTGGTTGGGACCCCCGGGACCCCAGTCTCAGTCCCAGTACTCACCGCTTTTCCCAACCTGCTGAATCTCATTCGCTATCAGACCCCTCCCCTCCATCGAACCTGATGAAGTTTTCGGATCAATTGTCAACCAGTCAAAGCCTTATTCTGGTGGAAACGGATCCCCACCAGAAACAGGGATCATACCTAAGCCTATCGCGGCAGGTCGTACAATACCGGATTCGGCAGACTTGGCCCTGGACACGGCACATCATCTCCAGAAACGCGTAATGGGTCCAGTCACGATAGCCAGTCAGTGACAGTCAGTTTGGTTAGAGAGGACCCGGTGCGGGTGACCGTCCTGACCCTAATCCTAAATCCAGTGCGGGGGTTCCTAATCAGGGAATCCGGTGGAGACGACTAATTGTAACAGGAACAGCTCGTATTAAAAATCGACCCATGCCGCAATGGTTGCCGAATTGGTTTAGCTTCGGCTGAGGAGGTCGTTGAAGACCCGAAGAAGGCTGGAATTTTTTTTAAAAAGAGCATTTGTATTTGTTTTCCAAGCACCATTTACAAGAGTGGAGGATGAGTATCACTAGGGAGGATGACGGATGGTGAGGGGTGGTGGACTCCGTAGCTAGGGTTGGTTTCGAGTCCACCCCCCTCCGTTTGTTTGGGACGCCATTTGAGCAAGCCACACAGTTTGTCGTCTGTGCCGTCCGACGGTCATTTCCAAGGAAACAGACCTCCAACCCCGACTGTGGTCACTGGTCAGAGGATTCTGGTTTAAACTCCAGCTGGACATTGCCCCGACGCAGTGACCACAACCAAAGAATTGCCTCACCAAAAGGCATTGCCGCTATCTGATCCCCTGATAGTGGGTGTCGTAGTGGGAGGCATTCCTAGTTTCGCCTCGTAGCGATGCGAGAGTGGATAACGCTCAAGACACGGCAGTGGGCGGCAGACAATTACATTGCCAAGCACATGGTAGTTCTGGCTGAGATCCTGTTTCTATCAGGGACGTGTCATAGTTGGGCTATTGAATCTTCCTCTACCGAGTTCCGACCAGCCATTGTCCTCCCCTGGTGTGATTTCTTTACAGTGCTGACGGGCTGAATGGGAGAGTATCACAGCAGGTCCGTGAACCCGACCCCCATCGTCCCACAGGGTCGAAATTCCCGAGGACATATACGATCTTGTATACATATGTACTCCGTAGTATGTACATGTACACCATGAGATCCATACATGGATCGACAGTTGCCAAACCACCCAAGACGTTAATCGTCAGGAACCTGGGATGATCAAGCGAATATCGACCGAAATAAGAACGGGTTAAGACATCTGTCATCTGCATGGGGGGGTCCCATCTTGGCAGATCCCACACGGCAGATCGTCGTGATTGGCGTTTGGGGGTTAGTCAGATCCAACCTCTGAATGACTTACGAGTGAATAGATTGGAAGGGGAAGATACATAGCACGTCAGTCAATCAATTGAACGGATGAAAATCATCAAAATTTGTGGTATGTAACACAAGTCGAACGGGAGGAAGCACGCCATTACTGGTCTCCGGTCTTTTCCTCCCCTGCCACGCCATCGGTGTCCCAACCAGGATGCCCTTGGTCCCCGAAGCCCGCACGCCAAGATTATGGAAGGTCGACCGAACGTTCCGCAGTCTTCAACTTTGCTCTCAGCTTTGCCCTCAGAATTTGCATTTTGGGGGGTGGTATATCCACTATTCAAGGGCAAAAAGTAGAAGGTCCACATGAATTGCTAACAGTTAATTTGGGCTCTATCTCTGGAGAGTTTGGAACCCAAAGATAACCATATTAATCAAACAAATAAACTCCTCATGACCATAGCTAAACATTGATTTAAAGAGAAAAAAGAGCAGTAGATCTGTTGATTGGCCCGCGATCCCGATGCACTAAGTCCGTCGATCCACACATGGTGGTCCACCCGAACGCTTTGTTAAATTAAATCAAGCCGATAAGTGTACTCTGGTAGGTTACCTCCTACCGACGCTAGTCAGTACTCGGGAACGTGTTTCCAGAATAGAAAATCCTCCTGCTGGACATATAAAGACATGTCGAGATTCCCATACTACAGCCAAGTCCAACCGAATCAATGTCACATATGATACCACCAGTGGAATTCTTCTCCATCCTAGTCGAGTGTTCCCGACAACCGCGCTAGCTCAAATAGGAGGGAATCCTGCAAAACCCAAGAGGCGCTATTGGCTGACTCCCACTGAATCAACTTCTCAGCCGGTCCCGGAGCCCCACTGCAGAGACGGCAGATAGTCGATAGCCGAGCTTGGCGGAATATGATCACCCAATCATGGATGGGGCCCCACAGGAGCTGACGCGTGCACCCTTTTTTCCCTTTTCCTTTCCCCTTCTTTTCTACCTTTTTTTTCTTTTTCTCTTGACAACTACGTTACTGTTAATCTATTTTGATTTTGTGGGCTGAAGGTGTAGGGCCAAAAACGCCATAC